CGACCCGCGCCAGCCAGAGCCCCGATGGCCGGATTCGCCGACGACTCCGACCTCGACGTCCTCGGGCCGAGCGCGGGGCAACCCGTCGAACAGGAGGCGGAGGAAGAGGAGGAAAAGGAGGCTAAAGCATCGGTACCGGTTGACGACGACGGCCTGACGACACACCGACAAACCGGCGAGCAGGAGTGGCGACTGCCGGTCCACCACTTTCTCGACGCCCGGGGCCTCCTGCAACCCCGAACGCCGTGGGACCGAGACCCGGCCGGTGCAGAAACGGCTCGGCCGGCGAATCCGATGAGTCTGGCGAGTTCGGCGAATCAGCGTCCGGAGTGGAGTCCTCGAGGATTGCTCGAGCCAGTCGAGTCGGTGCTCGACTCGAGCAGCGGTCCGTCGCGTCAGTCCCACTTCGTCGCGGCCACGTCGCGTCCCAACGTCGTGGCCGCGTCGAACGACGTTAATCTGGCCGATGGGATTCGCCAGTCGGTCGGTCACTCGTCGATCGGCTCGTCGGTGCGAAAGCGATGCGTCAAAGAGACACTGAAAACATTCGTCCGTGAAGAGATGAAGGAGCGCGTCTTCCTTCAAGAACCCGGACAGCCTGGCAACGGTCTCATGCAACCGACGAGTCGATCCGAGTCCACGGATCAGCCACGAGTGGTCGTCCGAAAAGTGCCGCTTCGGCGGCTCCCTTCCGCCAGTCCGCCGCCGCCACCGCCGCCACCGCCGTTCGGTCGGGTCGGTATAGCAACCGAGCCGGCCGAAGAGACAAGACCACAAAAAATGAAGATGGAAAAAGAAGAAGAAAAGGAGGAGGAGGAAGAGGAGGTTATAGAAGACGAGTCGGACATCACGGCTGCGATACGCGAAAAGATCGCGGAGGTCTCTCAGTTCCGACGCATCCTCAACGGCCAAGCGACCTACGCGCAAGGGAGTCTGAGAGAAAGCGTAAAGATGCCGAGTGAGGTGAGGCCAGCAACTGGCACCGGCCGGAGCGTGGCAGTTGCTGTCCTCCCGACGGAGGCTGAAAACGGCTTCAACCCACCGAAGCCGAGGTTCAACCTCTTCTCGAGGACGTCGAATGGGCGAGACGAAGATCTGATGGTGTTGAAGGTGAAGGGGGCGTGCGTTGGAGCCAGCCGGCCGGGAATCGCACTCACGAGCGTTCAGTCGAGACCGGTGATGACGTTGTTTGGCTGTGCCGTGAAGAGGCACAACGAAGAAGTGGCCGAGGTTACCGAAGACGAGACGGAGACGAGGTGGTCTCGAACCCCAGTCTACCCGCTCAGTTGCCAGCAACAGGCGAGTCCGAATGGAGATGCGCTGAATTGGCGTCCAGTGCCTTGCCAGACCTCGAACTCAGTCGTTCTAGTGAAGGAAGCGTCCGCGGCAAGAGGAAGGAAGGAGAAGGAATGGGACTCGAAAGAGGATAACTTTTCATCACGACAGACTGTCACGAGGTCGAATGCAACGCTTTATGACCAACAAAGGTACAGAAGACAAGCACAATTCGGAGGTAAGTCGAAATATTAAAAGACAATATTACAAGTTTTGTAGAATAAATATAAAAATAAGCCCAGAGAAGATTTATTGTGACATTACTTTCAACTCAACTCAAATGTTGGTTGGCAAGACTGTGAGAATTTGCCCCAAATAAAACCGCAAGAGGAGATTGATTGCCTTGGAGGAGGTCGTCAAACCCCAAAACCATAATTCATATAATTATATATGACTGATTTTTGATGAAGAGCATTTCAAATGATATGGGAATAGAATTAGAAAAATGCAATACGCAGAAGCAGAGGGAAAGTATAAAAAGTGAAAGTAGAACGGCGAAGAGAGGGATTGCAATTTGAGGGAAGAAAAGAGCACAGATCAGAAGTAATGAGAAGTGAATAGAAGGAAAAACAGAAAAGAAAAGAAAAGAAGAGAAGAAAAGAGAAGACCAGTGTAATGTGGAACGTGGTTATCATTTCCTTGACTTCTATCTCCATCGTTTCGTCCTAACAACCATTCTATGATAAAGTTCCCACTTTTTTATACCGGAAATATTGGCCCACCCATTCGCTTAATTGGCCCGCTCTACTCGTTGGGCAACGCAGATTGTTAACAAATGACGGATTATGTTTCAGTCTTCGATTCTGCGCAGCTTATGCACATTCGAATCGAACAAGATTCCTCTTTTCGTCGCGAAGGGGTGCCACATGGGTTGCATAACAACTAGGAATCATAACTTCTTCTTCTTGCTTGTCTTCTGGTATGTCTTTGTGCGTCTGTGCGTGTGGGGGTTCACATAACCGTCTAGCTCTGCCAAGCACGAGTTAGCATTTGTGTCAGAATACTCCGGTTTGACCGACATGGTCTTCCGGTTCATGATAAACGAGTCAGTTTGTGGAAGAATACTGAGAAGCTTATGAATCCCACTGATCGAAACAATCCTTGCTGCCGAGTCTTCAGTGAGGCTGCAAGGGTCAGCAGTAGAACTCGGTTAGCCCACTTGGTCTTGCGTTTGCAGTCTCGGACCTGCAGACCAAGTTTAAGGCACGTCTTTGTGCCAGCGTCAATTGGTGGCGGGCTCCGCTTTCCGCACAAGATCGCCAGCGTTGGATCATTGCGCATCGTTGGAGGCCGGATGGACTCGAGCTTGCGTTTGCCTCCAGCGACAGCTGGGTTTCGGACAAATAAGAGCACGAGCCTGTCAGCTACAAGTAATTGTGAGACTTCAAGAGTCGGTTTTGTCACAAACTGAATTACATGTTCTTTACTAATAAAGGAAATTTCGGCAAAAATCGAGTTTATATCTGAACTCAAACCACAAGTAATTATATAATATAATGAATAATTCAATGCTATTGTTCCAAATGACGCAAAAGTTGAATTTGGTAGAATACCTATCATTTCCTTGGGCATCTCCGTGAAAAACACGTCAGCAACAGTGATTCTTAAAGAGTTAATAACTTAGAGGATGATGAAGTGAAAGTATGAAGGATTATCAGTCACGTGATTTCCTGCGACCGCATTGCCAACGAAGAGGGAAAGGTGTATACAGCTTAGACTGAGGATAAATTGCTTGAATGTTTTTTCGTTTGTAACTATATCTTTGAGACTACCAGTAAATCAGACAGATGAGATGTATTCTTTCTATTTAGTCTAAGATGATAAAGAGACTAATAATTGGATTTTCCAACAATTATATGAATATAGCTTACATTTCTATTAAATTTCACTTGCCTTGCTTTCCCAAAAATTATTCTCATCCAGAGAGAAATTCAACTACCATTCCCTTTCTCACCTTAAACTAAATAAAAGTGTTTGATGAAGTGGCTTGGAGGTTAATCTTGCCAAAAGACGACGTCCTGTAGTTGATTTTTGCTACTATGACGTCGGGGTTGAAGCAATCTAATGGCGAAAACGAGCTGAATTTTGTAGTTGTATCGACCTCGCCTCGGTCTTATCAACACCCACAGCGGGACTCGAACCATGACAGGACAACATGTTAGCTCGACACGCTAACCACTGCGCCACATTGCCACGAGTGCCCTTGGGTCAGAGGGAAGATGTGAATTTCAAGGAGGGCCAGGCATTTTCCATATCAAATTGTGTGTTGGGATTGTCGATGAGGCAAACTTATATTTACTATAGCAATAGACGATATTACTTTTTTTGTGAGTGGGTTTGGAAAACATCAGCTCTATTCATATGATTGTGGGAAAATTCAACTACCAGTCCTCTATCATCTAAAACGAAACAGGGTGAAAGAAACTTATTTATCTGATTTACTGGCCATCTCGAAAACAACAAAAGAGTAGAATTTTTGTCCATAATGCCACTTGGTAGACGTTGCCAAGAGTCATTCGTATTCCATCAAAAATATAAAACTAACTTTGATTCAAGCAAGAAATAAATGTAT